TATTTGCTTAGTTTTGAATTTCTTTGCACGGGGGAGTTTTGACCTTGACCTTCAACCTTCAGAAATTTTTATTGACGACTCGTATTTTTTTAGACATTTCGTTTCCTTTGTTATATTTCTAGGCATTCTATTTTTACTTCTCTTAGTTTTTACATGTAAGAGCTCTTTTGACTTGGATTTTCAAATTGCCCATTCTTGCAACGTCCTGAGCTTTCATTAAAACATATCGGCAATGGGACAAACCCTTGTTCACAAAGACCGTCCAAGTTCCACTAGTATCGATTCGCATGCCTGGAATCCACACGTGCTCGACATGACGTTAATGCAGACCTGTGCGACGTTTACTCAAATTGCATTTTGTACGTAAGCTTGAAAATTGGCCAATATTAATGTTATTTGTGAAGCTAATTGCTGAAGATTGCTCAATATTTTTGGATCTTATGAGCTTTCTAAATTTCGCACTCACAAACGGTGGGATTTAGACGACTTATTAAAATGGAGGGATCGCCATCTAGATGGCCTCACGCTTTTTTGTTGTCGCAATTTCAGGAGAACCGCTCGTCGGATTTTCTTCAAACGATCGGACATTGCGGGGAGAATGATTTTGTTTAGACAGTCATATCTTTTATCATTATTTTTTCTTACCATTTATTCGACATTTTTAATCAAAATTATATGTTTTCTCCAATAGCCTAAACTCACCAAAATATTGAATTATCATTCTAACTCTCTGAAAAACATGGATGAGGACCCTACCTCAACACATTTTTCAAAATGTCGGACATATTTTATAAAAATAGGATCTTGTTTCTACAGATCTATAAATTCTACAAAGATAGAAAGTCTAATTTGGGAGATATCAAATCTTGGTGATCAAAGGCTGAAAATAATGATTAGCATGGCCATGAGTTTCCCCATGGGGAAATAACATGGGATAGGCCTATGCCGTAACATATTCCAACTTTCCTTATTTTATTATCAAATATATCTTATCATATATATATTTTAAAAGTTTTTTTTATAAATTTTCTCATTACCATTTTAGGAAACCTTCATCGGCCTGCTCACGTAAGAGGTAGCGAGTTCTAATGTATTAACTTGTGGCATGCTGGTGCGATTTCGTTCATGTTATGGGTCTCTTTATTGTACTTTTCAAAATTGGCGTCGTCTTGTGATAGTAGTCGTTCGTTTGTGCGTGCGTGCGTGCGTCGATGCCCATGTCTGTATGGACAGGCGTCACATGCAAAGAAATCTCATCATCGAAATTTCCGGCAAAACCTCTAAATCACGCCCGGCGATCGAACGAAATGAACGGAGAGGGTAGCTGATTTTCGCTAGCAATCAGCTAGCTAGCAATCTGGCAGATTTATCTTTCAAGAGAAAGTTTACAATTGAATTGCTAAATGAATAGGCGCAGTACACGCGGGAATGTGTTAGGTCTTCTAGGATTTTTTGAACTGATGGACTTCTTTAAATAAAAGATCTATTAAAAAAGGCGCAGCGTCACCAACGTGCAAATGTCAATAATGTCTTTGCTATTTAATCAAGCAACAATTGTCGACACGACCTGTAATAAATATATACAAGCGAAGTTTTATCACAAAATGAATGTCATTGCCGGTTTTTTAAAATAAGTTTCCAAACTTTAGATAAAAAATAATCAAAAATAATTAGAATTGAACGGAGGGGGGGGGAGTGAACGGAGGGGGAGTTATATGTCTTTAAGGTTGAATAAATTTCCGCGAATTCGTGTATTTGAAAAATGAACTCAGCAACTCAGTACCCTGCGTGCAGAGTCTAGTTAAACTACACGAAGCTCTCTTTTAAGAAGTGAAGTCAAACGAATGCAAAGGGTAGTAACTCAGTAACATCTTGATGTTACAACTCTGAAAAGTGAAAAATAGGGACATATGGAGTTACATCGGTAACAAAATGTCGGAACGTCGAAGGTACGATTTTTCTTTTTTCCTTATTTCGTACCTATCGTACCTTCGACGTTCCGACATTTTGTTACCGAAACGAACCGTTTCGGTAACCAGCGTAATCGAGTGGATCACCAGTGAATGTGAATGAAAAAATATTGGGCTCGGCTACCACCTCGCCCATTTTTTCTCGAATAGGTCATCTGCCATATCCAGCTCCTGATTATCCAGTATTTGTTTAAATATGGCCCGCAGAAATGACGTTATTAGTATTATTTCCACCGTTAATACTGAAATAACAAGAACTGAACGAAATCTAATTTCCCGGGGAAAATTGCCGGTTGTTAATTTATTGGCCCGCCACTATGACGTCACATTTTGAGATATAAAAATAGATATAGTAAAATGAATGTCTTCTAAACAAGCACTAATATCCCTAGAACAGGTTGTAAGAATTATGTCCCTCAATGGTATAATATAATCTTTGGCAAGTTAGGTTTTGCCTCGCCTGTACCTCCCCTAGACCAGTAGAATTATTGCAAAATATTATTGATGATCACCCACAGACACCTCCTATGATGTTTACATATAAATCTGTCATGAACAGATAATTGACTGATAATGGACGTAATTTCTTAATAAACATGCCTTTGCGATTGTGGATAGACAACGTATTTTGATACAATCATGGGAAAGTCCATGATACAATTAAAGCAAATATTGTATTTTGATGTAATTAAAGCACGTAGATTCCTTAGTACGTCATAACATTAATGCATGACGTTGATAATATTGATGTATTCAGTTCAGCAGTTGTACCACACACATTGAAAGTATGAATATCTCGAAGCAAACAACATTGGAAACAAAAATTGATGATATAAATGTTGAATTTTGTTTATTTATGTCGGAAGATTGATCCTTCTTGCATTTTTGCATGGCCGTACCTAGTTCGCAAATTCAATGTATTTGCCGTTTGTTTTTTACCGTACCGTTCTACCAACCAATAGTTTCGCAGGAAAATACAACAAACATTCTTTGCGAAGTTTTTTTTCGACCGAAACTGAAAATTATATCCCATAAATTCATAATATAATATCATTTTGGCAAGTTGGGTTTTACCGCACTCATTTCAGTGTACCTCGCTTTTTTGAATCCAGGGTCCCGGGTCCTGGGAACGCCACTGCTTAGTCAATCAAAGAAAAATCAATTCAGTCGAATATGTAACGTTTGTAATACAATATCAAGAGAACTAGAAATATGCCACCTATCAAGGTTGATAGGGTAATATGATATCTAAACAATGTTAACCTAACCAGGGGCGTAGGAAGGTGTAAATTCAACACTACGCCAAAAATATGAAACTATTCTGTCAAAACTTCAATATCAAAACGCCTATTTTATGCTCGTAAAACGTTTTTGACATTTTTTGACCATTTTGACCTTAATAAGGTCAATGAAGGTCAAATCTCAAATCTAAAGTTAGATTTGAACTTATGATATCTTGTAGATGATTTTGAAAAAATGGTCAATTTGAAGCAAGTTGAAAAATACCTTTTTTGACCGTGAAAATCTTTAATGAAAAGTCAAATTTGAACTTCTCAAAACTTCAGTCCAAACAGTATTTGTTAAGTTATTGGAATGTTTAAGAATGTGTTACAGACGCCAACTGCCGACCGCCAACCGCAACCCGCCGATCACCAACCGCCGTCAAAAACGGAGACCACCCCAATATGTCACCACTTTCTGGTGGTGACATAATTGGAAACAGGGTAACTTTCCATTCTGATACACATCGCATCTAAAAACCTGTCTGTGCAAGAAGAGAGGGCCATGGTATTCCATAATGGTAAGTTTCAATATTTTACGAATTAAATTTTTCGAAAAGTGTCATTTATCTGTGGCTCAACTTAGAAATATAACAGAGGCACAAAAACCCTGCAAAAGAGTACTGTTGAAAAAATCGAGTATATTACTCAGTATATGGTATGATCTTTAGCCTAGTTATTAGTTAAGTGTGCTCGAGATTACTTTTACAATTTATGAATGAGAAAATATGACTAAAGAACATGGGAAATTTAATAATCCTTCTTTTTCTCACTTTTCAACACTACGCACTGGCGTTTTGGCGTACATTGTTCCTACGCCACTGCTAACCCATGGTGCACCGTGTAACCCTGCGCCCACTCCCGGCCCCACGCTTTTTTCAGTTGTTCTTTAAACATCATAATTTACACCGTCAATAGACGAGTTCTGTTCTCGCAAAAAACCAAGGAAGTCTATCATATAAAACGTTCTCAGTTTCAGAAATAAAAATATGTTAAAGATAATGAGCTATAGTTACTTTTTCAATAACATATTTATTAGCCCTTTAACGCTTTAACGAGGGCCAACGGACGGGCGTCGATGAATTCGGACCTAACGACGCCGTGCATAGATATATAGATTTTACACTTAGCATACCTGAGGCAAAACTCTACTGACTGAGAGCTGACCAACGGATAGTAATCTACAACTCCTGGAGTATAATATCTTACCGACCTTTGCCAATGGAAGTCCATTCATGTTAGAATACACAGAGCCAATCGCGTACCAGGAAATAGTCTCAAGTGAATACTATTATTGTTCGATCTTCCATAGTGCCAACAGTAAAATTCCAATCCGTTTTTTCAATTCTCACTTCCGCAAATCCATTGATCTACTTATACATCGATATACACACCGGGAGATAATGATAATCAGACTTATCCTACTATTATATTATATGTCCATTTGTTTGCTTAAACCTGACCTGAAATATCGACGCAACATCGGTTGAGTGTTGCACACGTGTGATATATTGACTAGTGTCTTACTTAAAGGAAATCAGTTGAACAAATATGCTGGTATCTTCGAAAAGATCAGATTAATTACATCAACAAAATCTCTGAATCTGTGTATATCTATATTTTGACTGGGGGATGGACGGTGACAGTAAACCATCCGTACCCTTATAACAAAAAAACAAACAAACAAACACAAACAAACAAACAAACAAACAAGCAGAACATATTTAATCAATCGAATGTTACTCATATTGGCACTTACGTGAAAAGCGAATGTTTGATACGGTCCCCAAATCGGAACTAATCAATACATATTAGTTGCGCGAGCATCGCTATTAATACGATCGACCAATCTGCGACAGAGAGAGGGAATTATAAAATTGCTTCGAAAATGCACATGGATAAAAAGGAACGCTCATAACAAGTGTATCATTTTGTTCATTTGTCACTATTCGAAGATCATCTAGAGGACAGACTCAGAGACAATTAAGAAGCAAGTATGGCTATTGCTGTGTATCTATTGGAGCGATGCACTGAAAAACTGAACGTGCATCTTACAGCGTTGCTGATTCTTGTAACATCGATACTCATCTACGCTTTGAGAAGGAGGGATTTTTCGCTGCCACCCGGCCCGACGGGGTTACCAATCTTGGGGAATATCTTACAGATGATCCCAGATGTACATGTTAAACTAAGCGAGATGGGAAAGAAATACGGAGATGTTTTCACCGTGCATCTAGGCCCTGTGCCCGTGGTTGTTTTAAACAGTTATGAGGCTATCAGAGAAGCATTTGTCCATCGTGGAAGCGGGTTCAGCGGGCGTCCCCAAACCTTCATGGTGGACCTTATTAAAGAGGGTAGAGGTATGTTAACTTTTTTTCTGTATTAATTTGTTTAAAACAAGCAATAACAGGTTTATGTATTAACATTGTGGGCTATTTGATCGAACGGTGATTTCCCGCTTTGGCTTTCAAGTTCAACTTATACTAGCATAGATGTCTCATGTTCTTTTAGAGTACCTCAATAATGTATCATGTTAAAGCAATCGAATAATTTTCCTAAAATGGCAAAACTCATGTTGTTTAAAGTACCTCAATAATGTATCATTTAAAACCAATCGAATAATTTTCTTAAAATGGCAAAGCTCAAATGAACAAATGGTGGCTTTTTATGTTGTTGTTAGAGTACCGCAATAATGTATCAATTTGAAGCATTCGTATTATTTTCTTCAAATGGCAAGACTCAAATGAACAAATGGTGGGCATACTAACTTAAGTCTTGTTAAACTGATTAGAAGACACTATTTATTGATCCAGTGTATTGATTCACCTGGCTGCGTTTCATGAATGAAGCAGGAGTTATCAATGAAAATTATGAACCAAAAAGTTGGCTCGATAAAAATAGTATCGCACATGTAGAATCAATCAATTGATTTTTCTTCGATTCACATTAAAGACTTGCACATATACATGTGCATTTAATCTGACCATTTGCAATACACGTTGTCATGGCAACGGAAGTTGTGCATGAAAAACTTCATGGAATTCATTCTGTTATCAACTTTAAAACGTTATTGCGATACCGCCGCGATAAACAAATATCGAAATCTCCATTTAGTTCATTTTCCATACTAAATTAAACTCAGAATAAAAGCTCTCAAACATAATTCGTCAATGTCTTCTAAGAAATCTATCTAAGAATAGTTCTGAAATTATCAAAAAGAGTCCCCCTGGTAAACTTACAGAGGTTAAATATAGATCTATCAGATACTTTATGATGAATAACTCAAAATTATGAATGAATGGAATGGAGTATCAATGAAAATACTCAATGTCGATGTGTCTAGAACCGTCCCACGCAAAAAATAAATTATTAATAAGTTTTTGCAATTTGTATTGTTCAGATTCTTTACACTTTATGGTTGCATCTGTAGTTGTACATCACACCTTTGACATCACTTTCGTCGCGCTCTCCGTTTGGAGTCTTTAGATTCTTTGATTTAACTAATAGTTAAACAATAGTGCAATCGATTAACTATTGCGTGAAAATCGTTCAGCAATTTTACAAGGTGATATTCAATCCATTGTATGAATGTTTCCAAGCGATCTAATTTTTACACTTTTTTAGATGACGTGACTTTTTACAAGTCATGAGACTAAAATTTGCCCCCGGGGGGTGCAATTGCGTCATCATTACGCTAAATATATATCTATGTATTTGTCAAATATCGGACTAATTGATTTCTTAATAGAATACAAATTATACCAATTCAGAGTACTCTAACCTCCAAAGAATCTCTGCTATAATTCTTTATTAATTAACAAATCGATTTATCGCATTCGTTTGAACTGCGACAGCACGAGATTGCATTTCAAATAATTCTGTGGCTAAAATCAAGTGTCAATTACGTTTTCCGATTTTCTATTTCTTTTATAGGTTAGGTCTATTTTACAAATCAATCCAAGGTCTCTATCTAAATGCAGGGCCTTAAAGGAGTAGTATGAGTCAGAGAAGACATTTTTGAAGCCCGTTTTTGGAACTCACATTTAAATTTCAAACATAAATAAACATCAGATGGGTAGACGTACTTTCCAAACTTTAAGAGGTGATGTAGGTTGAAATATTATAAATTGGAGATGGATTCAAGGGGCTTAAAAAGATTTTTAAAAATCCTGAAAAAAAGATTTAGAACTTAGAGAAACACCATTTCGCATCTGAGGCGTAAGTAGAGTGCCGATATGGCTCATTGACAACATGTTTTCTTCATGAGGTCCCGGGTTCGATTCCCGGTTTTGGCGAATTTGTTTTAAGTTATGACCCAGAACTGTTTTAAACCACTACATGGTGTGTACCTGTTTGTCTGTCTATATATGCACATTTGAATGATACAGATAGTGCTGTATCAAAAAGGGATTCCTGGTGCCCTGGGCCCGTTCTCTTCGTGGGCTTTTGCCACTTGCACCTTCGTTGGTGGCAAACAAAATGCAAAACAAAACAAAACAAAACAATACAATCAGTTGTCTACAAGTCAACATTTTAGCCTGGTCAATTGTGGCGCGAATTTGAACAATTCCCGAGTTATCTTAAAGAAACATTAAATCCAATTCAACTATTAGGTCTCAAAGTTTAAGAAGTTTAATCAAAACACAGGATTCCAAATTTAAATTCAATTATGTAATTTCATCAATATTTTACAACGCGGTTTGTCTAAATTTAGAAACAAATATTCCTTTAATAGTAAAGGTAAACTAAAATTAGAACTTTGAGTTATTTTAACCAGCACCAGCGGAACTTCCTATTATAGCCTAATATAATGCCGGTTATCCGACCGGAAGTTATCTAAACATTTATTTGCAAGTTAACAATACACTAAGATTGCGACTTTATCCCTTGTTAAGGAAACCTTTTATTTTGAAATATTTTTCTTACTATAAATACTATGTTATCTTTGCTTCTACAAATAATCCCAAGGTTAAATTCGAGTGCAATAAGTGAAATTCAAGTTAATTTTAGTTTGTTTTTCTTTGAAATCAACTGACGTTTTAGCCTAATTCTGAAGCTTAACCGGGAATATTTCAAAACACAAATGTTATGTAATATAGAAATCTCGCGTCGGTTTCCTTTGAATGTTTTGAAATGTGAAATGCCGAGAAAAAATTAAGACGAGTAGGATATGTAAATGCATGGAAATGGTACCCTCCACAACACCCTTTCATTAGACAGCATGGACCTTAGCAAACAAAATGGCGCACATCTTTCGATCATTAATCAATTAATTGTATTTAGAGGTTTTGTTTGAGCTTGCCCACCGGGGCTTGCCCCAGGCAGAATCCAGCGATTTTACATCGGATTTTGCCCTGATTCATGTGTCATCAATTGATAAAAACTGGGTTACATAGATTCATGTTTGTGCTTTTAGGACTCGGTATGGCTCAAGGCAACCACTGGAAAGAACAGCGCAAATTTACACTGGGGATGTTCCGCCAGTACGGCTTTCAAAACTGGGATTCCACCATGGAATCAAAGATCCACGACGAGCTTGAGAATTTCATCGGGGAACTCCAATTAAAGGAAAACCAACCATTTGACGTTCATTTCCTCATGGGCAGCGCTGTATCGAACATCACCTGCAACGTCATATTTGGGAGACGCTTCGAGTACACCGACTCTGAATTTCTGTACTATCTGAAGTTAATCGATGATGATTTCAAGCACTACGCCAGGACCGTGTTCGTGAATGCTTTCCCCTGTTTGAGGCATCTTCCCGGGGATTTGTTCTGGTACACCAAAACCATTAACCACTTCCAGAAGGTAAAAGACTTCGTTGGGCGCATCATTACGCAACACATCGAGCGATATGATGAGAACAACATCACTGACTTTATCGACGCCTACATCAAGCAGATGCGGCAAGAAGAACAGAAGAACAACTCTGATACTTCTTTCACACGTAAGAAAATTAATAATATCCAAAAATTATCTCATGTTTATGACAACGCTGCTGCTTATTAGCTTATAACGGTTCTAATTGCTCTTATCCGGGCTCTTATCCCACTTATTTCACTCATAAGGGATTTTTAAAATTACATCCGAAAATTGTCTCATAATTATTTCAATATCTGCAGTTAATCATTGTGGTTTCCACAACCTATGCTATATCCATTGAAGCAAGTTAAGAGGGACTATCATAGGCCCCAGGAACATGTATAAAAAATCGAGTCGACATCTGTATTACTTATTACTTCTACAGATGTCGACTCGATTTTTTATACATGTTCCCGGAGCCTATGGGGACTATGATACATCACATTGAATGATTGTTATACACAGTGTTATAGCTCTCATGAAATAATTAATAAATATTATTTTAGCCATTGTATTCATTTTGTGATTCCAGTGCCTCAATTACAAGACCTCATCTGGGATCTCTTCTTGGGCGGTAGCGAAACGACAACAACCACTTTGCGATGGGCCCTGGCGTACATGATTCGTCATCCGGACGTACAAGAAAAGGTATACCGAGAAATAAGCATGAATATAGGTACAGAACAACCTTCCTTCGAACACAGACGTCATCTTCCTTACACAGAAGCAGTGCTGGCTGAAATACAAAGACTAGCAAATATATTCCCCCTAGCGGTGCCCCACGCAACTACAGATGACGTTGAGTTTCGAGGTTATGTTATTCCAAAGGGCACGATGGTTTTCCCGAACATCTACAACCAACATATGGACGAGGACGTATGGGAGAACGCCCAGGAGTTCAACCCAATGCGATTCATTGATGGGGATGGCCAATATTATACGCCAAAGCAATATATTCCCTTTGGAATAGGTGAGTTAATTTACGTTAAGGTAGCCCGTACCTAGTAAATTTGCTTTCTGACGTCATCTACGTCATGCGCTGAAAAGTTCTAAAGTGATTCCACTAAGCCAAGTATATTGACTTGCTAAATGCATATTCAATCAATATAATATTGAACTTCTTAATCTTGATCTTTTATCGTCACATTACCACAAAGGACCTGTATCCCACTATCTTCTATTTTCCGACCGTGTAGGAGATAAGACTGTGTCATAAGCCTAAGTTCTTACATGCTCTTGTTTTAACAAATAGCAGTCTGATAATTAAAAGTGTATTGTGCAAGGACTTATCCTCTTACTATATATGTCATGTACGTCATCATGTTTCTGAGAAAATTGGACCATGTCTGATATTTTCTATTTATGTGTTTCCAGGAAAACGTGTGTGTCCCGGTGAGACCATGGCCCGAATGCAGCTATTTCTCTTCTTTACTACAATGATCCAACAATTTGTCTTCACGAGTCCCAATAGAGGGGGTGATGGCCCCAGTCTTAAAGGGCACATGGGAATTACAATATCTCCAGAGGACTTTGATATATGCGCCACAAGACGTGTTCCAAATGCTAGCCAATCAGATATCAAACTTCCATTCGATACAGATATGACGAACTTTGACGCACTGGCCGATGATGAGTGTTATTTACCAGTGGGAAAAATTGAATCCGAAGCAAGACACGATTAAAGTATGGTGCACGAACTATATTTATTCTAATCACGAAAAGCAAAACATTCCTGCATGCTATAGATGCGTGGTGAGGACTGGTTGCCATGGAGAATTCCCCAGATTCATTCGTTACTAGAGAGACACCGTCTTCAGTAGTGAACACCGAAGATGGTCGCCACTGCACAAATACACTGACTAAATTAAAAAATTACCTTGACAAAGCACTAGAGACATAGTTGTTATGGTGAACACTGGAAGTAATGGTTACCATGGTGACCATCCTACAGACAATAGCTGCAATGAAAACTACGAAGGAACAATCCACATAAAAAGAATCTCTACATTATCAATACGAATCTCAAATATACACAAATGTATCTCCAGTCCACATTAGAAAATGCATTATATGTTCCGTGGTATAAGCACGAAATAAATCAAATATAGATAATTGACAGGAATCGACGTCTGTGTATATGCGATGAAAAAATGCATGTATTTATAAATATCACAAATATATTTAGGTATTATTTTATAAATAACACTCAAATAATCTGTTATACCTGTAATACGCACAATATTTTTGCAAAAAGCACAAATCAAAATGTATTATATTAATACCAAATGTTATATACTATTATAGCACATTAAAATGTTCCGTGTGCCTATAATTTTATACAAAATATATTCTTTATACATATGTTATAATGTAGAATATTTGCAGTATTTTTATGAAACGAGAAAATGATGAGATATCATAGACAATGAAGAGATGTCATAGCCAATGATGAGATATCATAGACAATGATGAGATATCATAGACAATGATGAGATCTCATAGACAATGATGAGATGTCATAGACAATGATGAGATGTTATAGACAATGATGAGATGTAATAGACAATGATGAGATGTTATGGACAATGATGAGATATCATAGACAATGATGAGATGTTATGGACAATGATGAGATATCATAGACAATGATGAGATATCATAGACAATGATGAGATCTCATAGACAATGAAGAGATGTCATAGCCAATGATGAGATATCATAGACAATGATGAGATATCATAGACAATGATGAGATCTCATAGACAATGATGAGATATCATAGACAATGATGAGATGTCATAGACAATGATGAGATATCATTCACACACATTCATATGTCAAACATACATTTCAACAAGAAGCCTAAGTTAAAAGAAATACATAAAATACTCTATCTTCATGTACAAAATAAACTATTTACACAATATATTCTTTAATATTTATATATGTTAATGATCTGTCCATGTTATAAATATAGTAAAACGTTCTGTATAAAATTGCACAAATATGCTACAGTATTAATTATAAGTATCTGTAAACTATCTCAGTTGGGCTCACGCTGTACTAAGTGATTTAATCCGAGCACGTTGTTGTTATGGTTACTACATAATATTTCAACATAATACCAGATTGTGTTAATCGAGTGTTTATATTTAGTGACTGTTATTGTATGATATATATGTACGGAATGTTACAAATACAGAATATATATATAATTATTTATTGATAATAATAATTTTAAAATAAAATATATTTTACACGTTTGTGAATTTTTTTCAAATTACTAACCCAGATTAAGCCATCTTTACCCCATAAAAATACGGCCATCCTTCATCCTAAAAATATGAAGTATAATGATGTGTGAATTACTGAGTACAGTTGGGGATTACCAACGTTGACATTTGTGAATTACTACGTTGAAATTTATTAATTACTTCACAGTTTGGGATTACCAACGTTGACATTTGTGAATTACTACGTTGAAATTTATTAATTACTTCACAGTTTGGGATTACCAACGTTGACATTTGTGAATTACTTCACAGTTTGGGATTACCAACGTTGAAATTTGTGAATTACTTCACAGTTTGGGATTACCAACGTTGACATTTGTGAATTACTTTCATACTTGGGGATTACCAACGTTGACATTTGTGAATTACTTCTAAGTTGGGGATTATCAACGTTGAAATTTGTGAATTACTTCACAGTTGGGGATTATCAACGTTGACATTTGTGAATTACTTCACAGTTATGGATTACCAACGTTGAAATTTGTGAATTACTTCACAGTTGGGCATTACCAACGTTGACATTTGTGAATTACTTCACAGTTGGGGATTACCAACGTTGAAATTTGTGAATTACTCATCATTAATAGTTTGTTAATAACAAGTCATATTTTTCAAAAAATGACTCCAAGTCTTTAAGGTTTAAGGATAAGAGTTGAAATTAAATAATCGTAAAGTGTTTCACTATGTGTACTAAATACGGAGTACAAACCCCTTAAAAATAAAATGTCAATGGACCAATTCAAGGATGAATATTTAATATATATCAACTGGGAAAATTAAAAAAAAGGTTTTATCCAGAACACAATAACAAACGAATGACGTCAATACTGTACACAGCCTCGTAAGTTCCTGAAAAAATCATTTTAGTAGATTAATAAGGATCTGGAAACGTCTAGTAGCTAGGTTTGAGCCATGTCTGAGTTCCTTTTTTGAGACGCCATTATTTTTTTTATATTTTAATGAACTGAACATGTTCACAATACTTGGAATCAGCATTTACTGTTAGATCGTTTTTGACCTCGAAAATGTATGTTCCAATAATATTCTTATATTTGTGATCTAAATCGCTGTTTTAGCATTGTGTTATACTTTGGATTAACTTGTTTAGTTGGATTAAATGTTTAGTACAATTAAAAAATGTCAAAACTATTGATGAATTCGAATCGTATTCCCTTGTAGTGATCGCAATAGAGAAAAAAGTGTAAATGCAATTATGCACTGTTGTGATGCCCCCTGTGATGGATGCTGGTTTCAGTGTAATTGCAGTTCTGCACTGCTGTGATGCCCCCTTCAATCCATTTGGGTTTCAGGGTAACTGCATTTCTGCACTGTTGTGATGTCCCTTGTGATGGATTTTGGTTTCAGTGTAATAGCAGTTCTGTACTGCTGTGATGCCCCCTGTGATGGATTTTGGTTTCAGTGTAATAGCAGTTCTGCACTGCTGTGATGCCCCCTGCGATGACTTTGGGTTTCAGTTTAAATACAGTTTTGCACTGTTGTGTGCACTGTTGTGATGACCCTTCGATCCATTTTGGTTTCAGAGTAAATGCAGTTCTGCACTGTTGTGATGCCCCCTGCGATCCATTTTGGCTTCAGCGTAAATGTAGTTCTGCACTGTTGTGATGCCCCCTTCGATGCATTTAGGTTTCAATGTAAATGTAGTTTTTTGCACCGTTCTGGTGCCCCCTTTGATGGCTTTGGGTTTCAGTGCAAATGCAGTTCTGTACTGTTATGATACCCCTCTATCTAGGGGTTCTGGTGTTAATGCACTTTTGCATTGTCGTGATGCCCCCCTTGATCACAAGAGGTGCCGAATACTTGACAATTCGCTTATATCGTTTCCTCATCAACATCTCAAGAAGTGTTAAGAAAAACATTGCTGACGTCATTCCTGAAACGTTTCATGAATTATTAATGCCGATGCGCACATTTAGCGAGCGGGGCCCCGACTATAAAGAGATTGTTACAGATATAATTCAACTTAGCTGTTCCAAGAAAACAGCAATTATCATGTGTAGACGTTTAAGGTCATCCGACAACAAACGTGATTTCTGCCGGCATTAATTTATCAATACAAATACAAATATGCAGTGTAACAACGAACGGTATTTAAAATAGCAATAATTCATGGATCATTGCACACGATCATCCCTGGATCTAGGGTAAGCAACCCAGATATGCGACATTAAGCATAATATCAAGGTACCAATAACAAGGTGGCTAACATTGGTTATAAATAAATTCAAATAACGATATACAGTAACACGTACGCATTTTATGCCGTGGCCACATTTGTTCGATTTTCAGTACCAGCGTCCGGCCGATGAGTTTCATTAAATTGCATTAAACTGTTAAACCACCTCTCAAAATACTCATGGGCCCGGCGCTGGTGTTGAAGATCGTAGTAAATGTGACCACGGCAAAAAGAAAGCGTGGAAAAAAGTCAGAAAGGGGTACATTTTCATAAATGGTCCTTCGTTGTTGAATATACAGGATGGGCCAAAAAAAGTCCAATTTTTCTTGCAATATATTTTTTTGAAATGCTTGGCTTTCAACAAAATTTGGGCAAAATATGCAGAAATCAATTTTAGAATTGTTCCTGAAGTGGGATAAATAAATATCGCTGTGGGTTTTAAATTATAAAGGTAAACATACAGTAGGCAGTAGGGGTCTATAAGAAATATTTTTATAATTATGAGTTTGTCTCCGCGAATGCAACTTTCGACTGTCGGCTACCGAATTAACCTACTATTTAACCTACTATTTTATCGGCAAATCATTTAAATATTACCTGCCATTTAAATCTAGAAAAGTTGGTCATTAAATATTAATTTAATCCGGTAGCCTCTAGCCGTTAGTTGCAGTCGCGAATACAAGCTGTCGCAAGGGGGGGGGGGTCATTTGGACCCCCTCTGCGATATTTTATTGTCTGATTTCAATAATGCTGGTATTGTTGTAAACCTTATTCAATTAACCTTTCAGAAAAGTATTGCATTCTTTGAACAAGTATAGGCCAACAAAGGTCAATTCGAGGTCAACGTGACCTCGGGGGTGTAAATATTTGACATTTTATCAATTTTCTTTCAAAAAATAATTTTTTGGTGTCAAAAATGCTGCGCTACCTGTAAGAATAATTTGTTATCTTTCAAATAAATCTAAAATAAAGGCAAAAGCTTTTCTAGAACTGAACTTTTACATTTTAAAAGATAGCAGGTATCGCGAAATCCCATTGAAACCAATGGAACGCGAAATTGAAAAATTTCAATGGTATTTATCAAGTAGTTTTTGTAAAAAACGTTTTTCTCACAAATTCGTGAAGACAACGCAATTCGCGATTACTTTGCGATTAACTATTTAATTGGCATCAAGATCCACAAGATCCAACTACCGGGTATCATAACTTTGCCCCTCTACCCCAAATCACATTGGTTTTTACGCCAAAATTGTCTTATATCCCTTTAGCCCTGCAGACATCAAGGCCAATACATTCTATTGATCATGTAAATTTTATGACTACATTAACTTAAAAAACGTAGGCTCATCTTGAGCACCATTCCAAGAAGTGGACACGGTTCATTTCCTTTTCGTCCCTGGAGATTTCCCCGGGAAATCATGAATAATGAGAAATAATATGAAATAAAGATCACGGCTCATTTTCAGAATTATTGATGAACTAGTAAGAACAGTGTAGCAGTTAATTACTCAGATGTGAGTAGGTAGTTACCAGTTTCGCCACCAGGTGGCTAATTCGGGGGAAATAACCTGGCAGGGTATTACAAAGTTCCCTAATCTTGAATATTCATCAGTTTTAGTGGTTCACTTTTTATAAACTTATGCATATGATAATTATACAAATTAAAATATGTCCAGTAAAAGGAAATATTATTTGCCTAACACAAGAAAGGATATTTCACTTTTTGTGATTTTACAACATGGGGTCTATGGGGAATCTCCCCGACCTAGAAGTCACATTTTCATTGAAAATAAATTTTCAATGGGAAAAACTCTTTTCAAAACCACATTTCTAGATGTAATTTTACATGTAGACTCCAAATATGACATCAGTTTGACTGAATTTTGAATTTTCAATGACGAATTTTTTACTCGCCTATCTAGACTATTTGATAATGCGGTAATTTCTAGGGTGATGTTTTGTTTTCTCCATAAATGCAAAGTTTTTCCTTTAGAAATAACTGACAATCGAATCGAATCGCGGTGACTGGAAATATTGCAATGACCGGGCAAAAGGTTAGATTGGATGGTATGGCCTGGGAAAAGTTATTTTAACTGGTATTAACTGGGATAAAATTGTAAATAGTAAATGGAGTCAAGTGATCAAAAATATTTTATTGTAGATAATATAAATTATAAGTAGATTACATTTGTATACGGTCTTGAGAACTTAAAATATTGTAATATTAAAAAGGCCAAAAAATAAGTTACTAGTATTGCTTGAATATCATAAAACCTGGAAAAATTTTTTAAAAAGTACCAACGTTAAAAACATATGTAAAATCACAGTGAATAAAATAAAGTCGTTTTTATCAAAACTAGAAAGATATTCATAGCACAATTACGTTTGGGCGTTTTACAACTTGAAGTCTTAAAAATGAAAATTTGAAAACAGAAAATTCTCATAATCATACTTCTTATGACGAAGTGTTAAGTACCTTTTGGTGATTTTGAAGTCATATCAAAATCAACTTCTGTAGCCTATTAATTTGACACCACTTACTAATTTGCCTTGCTGAACTTTTATTGTTTCTCAAAACACATTCTCTCTAAAGAAATTTAAGGTGATGAGCACGCAAATTCTGTAGAAAATTTCAGTCAAAAAAATAACGAGTGACAACTTACACTTCCTCCTAGTGTAAATATAAAGGTTTTTAAGTAGGTCAAGTATGGATAAAATTACTGTATACCGTGCAGAATGATTTTTCATTGCATAT